GTAAATCGTTTGGCAGAGATTGAATGCTAACCAGCACTCCAATTCAACTGCTAATAATTATATTAAATGTTAATTATATTGCGAATATCAGAGGCTAACCAGCGCTTCAATGCAACGGCTAACAATTATAAAATAAAATGAAAAGTTGAACTATAAATGTTTTTCTTGAATTATAAAAGTAAAGTGTAAAATATCTCACATATGCAAGAACACAAGACTTCAATAATTTCTTTGACTAGAAAAAGAAAATTTAGGCACTAAACATTTTGAAGAACAAAGCAAAAGATTTTATAAATTGGAGTAAAGAAATGAAGAACAAAGGAGAAAAGAGAAAAGAAGTCTAAAACTAAAAAGTGGATACTAGCTACGTTCCTTTGCAGAGGTATTTATAGAAGTCTTTTTATCTAGTAAAAAGTCTTTCTTTATTTTGGTAAAAGAAAATAAAATCAGAATAATATCTAAACTCCTTAACAATCAAATAAAATATCAGATATTATGGCTTGGTTAAAACGCGTTGTGATGCGCCATATCTCTCGCCAGAAACTGATTTTCTTACTCCCTTCTTGCGTGATCACGTGCTATCTCACGTGAGTCATAAAAAACACAAAATTTCTTGAATAGAATCCCAATGACCACGTGCTAATTGGTGTGCGTGGCTACCGATGAACGCTCATCTTCTATCTTTCATCATTCAATCACGTGACCACGTGCTATTAAATCTCCGCGGCTCACCATCCATGGTTTGTTGTGTCAAAATCTTGGAAAAATCTATCTTTTCTCTCATTTCTCATCCAAAGTCTTCACACGATCAAACTACATATAAAACACCATAATTAGCATAAAATACTCTTAAAATTTTATGTAAATAATCATTAAATTCATGCTAATTATGGTCTTATCAAACTCTCCCATACCTAGACCAATAATTGTCCTCAAGCTTTTAAAGAAGAATGAATAAATAAATAAAACAATGCTTTAACAACCGTTACAAGAGTCAGCCTCAAGAATTCAAAACTCAAGGAATTCATTGTGACCTTGAAAACAATAGCAACCAACTGAGTCAAATACATTTAGTGCTTTTATCCTTATCCCCTTGTGTGTGTGTGCAAACCACTTCTTAGAGACATCACTTTAACACATAGCATAACATATATAAATTCAACTGCAAATATGCCACTGTAGAGTGAACCAAGGATTCTTAATTCAGACCGTACTTCAATGCAATGTTACTCCTACACATACTATGAAACCGAAGGCTTACATCTCACATTATATATTTCAACGCACTTTCCTCGTACACATTCTTCGGTGGTCCATATGGCTTTTCTTCAGGACTCTTTCCCACTCAAGCCCCTACCCAGAGCATTTTTCCACTTCATTTTATTTGCATAGTGGCTCAGCAACTTAGGCCAGTCTACTTACTCATATTTTCTCACCGACGGGCCTGAGGACACTCCGCTCTTTGTTTGCCAATTTCCTCACCTCTCAATGGGCTAGTATTAACATTGAATGCTCTTCTTTTCTCCCTCTTTAAATTTAACCTAACCTCAAAAGTATCCGCTAACACCCCTCCCCTATACTTATTTAGCACAAGGTACTCAGCGATAAGGTAAAAAGGCTGTTATAAACCATCACTCTCCTGTTTTTTTTCGAGTTTGAAGTGATGATAAGGTTAATGCCTTATTTTTATCTCACAACACAACAGGGTCCCACATGTATTTAATACAATTACTGAATGAATCAAATCAAACTTTGGCATATTCACATGAATTTATACGGCTATACAAATATGTTGAGTTTATCCCAGAGATGTGATTAAAAGTGCATAAGATAAGGTATTCAGGATATCACACATCATGCATAGACTTAAAAAAAATTGTTTCATGCCACTAGACTTCCTAAAGTATCGAGTTAAAATCATCACTGGCTCATTATTTATATTTTTTATTTTTCTCTTTTTTTTTGAACAATGAAACACATGAAGAAAACAAGGAAACAAAAACCAAAATGCCTTCCCCACACCTAAATTCTACATTGTCCTCAATGTACTAAACAGATGCAAGGATGCCACTAGACTTCCTAAAGTATCGAGTTAAAATCATCACTGGCTCATTATTTATATTTTTTATTTTTCTCTTTTTTTTTTAACAATGAAACACATGAAGAAAACAAGGAAACAAAAACACAAAATGCCTCCCCCATACCTAAATTCTACATTGTCCTCAATGTACTAAACAGATGCAAGGTAATTCCAAACAAACAAAAACTAACATGAAAAGCAAGAAACGTTTTACGACAAAACACAAAAAGAAAAATAAGTAAATAAAAGAAGAAAGAAAAGGAAAATGAAAAGAAAACTTCCTGGTGAAAATTAGGATGAAGAAGCCGAAAACAGTGGCTGAAATCCCTTATGCTCAAAGAAAGCCATCAAATTGTCCTCCATACGGGATAACCTGGTCATCGTATGTTGTTGTTGTTCTTTAATTTGGTTGAGTTGAATGCTATCATCTATCTCTTTGGAAGCTAGTGTTTGCTTTCCAGTACCTACACCAGAAGAACCATACTGTGTGGAGTCTTTTGGGTCTCCCGCTGGGTGAAAGAAGTATAATCCTTTATTGTGATACAAAATACCCATTCGTTGTAAACAAATCAAATCCAAATGATACATAGGACAAGCAACATGTAAATCAGTAGCATTTACAATTAAGCCTTTCAAATTAATAGCCAAATGTGTGATCAAAGAGCCTAAAATCAATGCTTTATCAGATTTATCAACAACAGACTAAATTTGAGTAGCAAGCCAACGACCTAGATTTAATTTTTGACCTTTCTTCATGCTCCAAAAGAAAAATAATTCAGCTCGACAACAAGCATTTGCAGACTCAATTCTACAAGAAAAACTATGTGCAAGAAATTTGTGAATAATGTGCAATGTTTGATCCTTAAGATACCTACCCTTAGATTGGCTAGGAACATAATTCAACAGATCATTGGTCATATCTTTCCAAATTTGCACTGATTGTTCAAGAAATTCAGATGTAAAATCCCATGCACTTACAAGGTATTCAGGAGAATTCAACTGATCAGCGCTAACAGCTCCAAGGCCCATATTAAAATCATTCAAAGACATTAAACTTGGTATCTATCAAACGAAATTTCACAATTCCAGGAATATTCAAACAGAATTTTTCTGGCTTAGTAAAATTAAAAGTGGTGTAAAGCTCATGTGTTAAATCAGTAAAAGCATCACACTTCCAATTTAACAAAACCTTCCAGCCAATATTACAAAATAATTCAACAACTTCATCATAAATTCCAAGATGATCAAGAGCGGTTTTTGTCAAAATACTTACAAGGGGCTATAGCAAGCTTTTGGACCTCGGCATACCTTTTTCGATCCATAGCTGTGGAAACTTGAGTTGCCGGCTAAAATTTGAAGGTGGAAGAAGGGACTTCCCCTTCCTAGAGTGCAGGGTATAAGTTGATGAACGGATGATTCTCTCCGGATTGTTGTTGATGATTGTGAACTCTTCCTTTTAGGGCTTGGACTGGAAGTTGCCACCGCTTTTTGAATTTTTGGAGTTGCCCGATGAGTGGCTTAAGGAGGGACCGACCTTTGAGAGTTTCTATCTCTACCTATTGTTGCTACAGAACTTTGCTTCAAAGGAGAGGAATGGTGCGCTGAAAAGAAAAAGAAACGTGAAAGGGAAGGAGGAGAGGTGCGGCCGATTCCGCAAGAAAAAAAATAAAAGAAAGAAAAAAAATCAGGTTAAAAGAATAAAGATAAAAAAGGAAATCTAGTTTAAAATTTGATTACTGTTAGGATTGTAAAACCTAACTCCACGGATTTTCTCTTTTTGTTTCTTTTTTTTTTAATTTTTTTTGTAATTGGTGAAAAGTTTTTTTTATTAATTAAAATACCGCATTTTTCTTTCCCTTCCACGTTGAAAACAATAGCAGAAAAAATTCAATACATGATCACGTGAGAACTTCAAAACTATTATGACTTATTCCCCAAAAGGCAGTAGCAAAACCTAATTAACATATGATCAAGTCAAATTCAAAGAAAACAAGAAACCATCGGCCTCCGCAGCACATGATCATGTACTCCAGCAAGATTCTTCAATTCCTACCAAACACCAGCAAAAATTATCAGAATACTAAAAAGAAACATCTATCTAAAATAAAAATCATTGGGTTGCCTCCCTATAAGCGACGTTCTTTAACGTCTTAGACGTGCTACCATAATTACTCATAAATGGGTGGAAGTAAGTTCTTCTACATTAACAACTTCATAATTTGAAAGAAAAGGTTTCAATCTGTGACCATTTACTTTTAAGATTTTATCGGACTCTAGACCTTTTCATTTCAATAACACCATTAGGAGAAACTCTTACCACCATATATAAACGGCCCACTCCACCGTGATTTCAACTTACCTGGCATGAACTTTGTAATATCCCTATTTGAGTCGGGATTGAACTCCAGAAAATTAAAGGGAGAATAGAGTCTGTTTTTCAACAATTTCTTTTTCTTACGGTGATAATATTCTTGATACATATTTATAGACTCTATTATCTAAAAACTAGGAAAGATAACTTCCACTAATACCATAACTCTACTAACTACTATCACCACTAATCCATTACCTGATAAACTACTAAAATATGACTCACATATTTACTAATAATTACTAATTGAAACTATAAAATAGTGATTTAAATATACTACTACCAATCGCATTAAAATACTTCCCCCGTCAAATTAGGCTTTTTCCTCAAAGCCTAAATTAGTTTGGCCTTTTGGGATGATAAAAGGTACGTAGGTTGAGCATTCCAAGCGCAAAGTTTGTCCAGTTTGGAAACTCCACAATGAGAATTTTCTCTTGTTGTAGCCGTGCATCCAAATTCCTGACGGGCAATAAGATTATGGCATCCGAATCAAGACATACCAGAAGTGAGTGTCTTGGCTGAAGGAGAGGATTGTGTAAAGATTTGTTGATGATGGCAATTTCACATACGATTTTGACAGTGGACAGTTGGGGAATAGTCTTTGGTAGTGACGTTGGTTTGGTGATGAAGATTTTTGTTGGTAATAACTCTGGTTTGGTGGTTAAAGAAAGGGAGGATTTTGATGATGGGGAGGCTGCTTTGGTTGTAGCACTAATTTCTGGCGGAGCTGTGGAGGTTGTTGGTGACGGGTTTGCAACAACAAGAGGAGCTGTGATTGGGGGGTTATGGATGGTGGTGACGGGGTTAGTTGGAGCTGCAGCCGTGATGTTGGTGATTGTGGGCGTCGGATGCGGTGTTGTCGGTGCAACAGTGATGGAAGGTGTTGGTGTAACCGAAAGAGGCAGAGGTGATAGGGCGTCTACTCGGTGGGTGAGATTCTGAAGCATGGTTGACAGAGATTCAAGTTTGGATAAAATTTGTTGATTGATATTCTTCTTTCGAATTTGTTGAACTTGAATATCTTTGATACTTTCAGAAAGATGGATTATTAATCCATCCAAAGAAGTCATGATGACTCTCAAAAGATAAAAAAATTTCTCTCAAAGAAAGCACCAATGTGATATCCCTATTCGAGTCGGGATTGAACTCCAGAAAATTAAAGGGAAAATAGAGTATGTTTTTCAATAATTTCTTCTTCTTACGGTGATCATATACTCTTGATACATGTTTATAGACTCTATTATCTAAAAACTAGGAAAGATAACTTCCACTAACACCATAACTCTTCTAACTACTATCACCTCTAATCCATTACCTGATAAACTACTAAAATATGAGTCACAAATTTACCAATAATTACTAATTGAAACTGTAAAATAGTAATTTAAATATACTACTACCAATCGCATTACAAACTTCAATCTGGAATCATATAAAAGGACCTTTTGCACTACCACAAATTGTTTCCTATGCAACAGTCTATCATGAAAACTTTTTGTTCTTTCCTTGTACATCTCTGCATTATCATAAGCTTCCAAATGAATTTCTTCTAACTCTTGCAATTGCAACTTTTGAACATCTCCCGACTCTTTGGTATTCATGCTACATTGCTCAACTGCACAAAAAGCACGATGTTCAATTTCAATTGGTAATTGAGACATCTTACCAAAAACCAACCTGTAAGGGGACATTCCAATAGGAGTTTTGTATGCAGTGCGATACACCCACAAGGCATCATCTAAGTGCAAACTCCAATACTTGCGGCTATGATTCACAGTCTTTTCCAAGATGTTCTTTATCTCCCAATTTGAAACCTCAGCTTGACCATTGGTTTGCGGGTGATAAGCTGTATATGCTCGTGGTACACCGAACCTATTGAAAATGTTCCGGTGGTTTTGTCGCTCTTCTCTGGTGGGTTGTTGTTGGAGGTATGGCGGAATTAATGCTATCCCTTCTAATAGCACAACGCTTTGTCTTGGTTGTAGCCTGGTTCTGACCATTTTGATGTCGGCTATGGTTCTGTGAAGAAGTATTCTAATAGTTGTTATCTGTTCTGTTTATTAGCAGGGGAGATAGTTTTGGGAGGATAAAGGGGAAGATGTGAATGCCGAATAATTTTTTTTTTTTTTGGTTTATGGGGGAATGGGGTGAGGTTCTGTTCCCTTACGTCATTTATTCCTGACCCTTTAGTCCACCAATCGTATCATTGGTTTCAAAAAAACAACATTGAACACGGCCTCCAGCAATCCTTGTGTATTTTTATTGATTAGAAATTATACTCCAATTCAAATGGAGATGCTCCATGCACTAGTTCATCATGTAGTCCTACATTTTTTATGATTTTGGACCCACCACATATTACATGCCCCGTCTGAAAAAAGTATGTCTTGCAAAGACCAAAATGGGACCACAAACCTGTAAATTCATCTGACAGTTGACTACCACTCAAATTATACCATTGAATGGCCGATTGAATAAATATATAATCTATGTTTATGGCTGGATATTCGAAGTGGTAAAGGTTATTCAAAAAAAGGAAGTATAAAACATTAATTGGTGTCAATAGTATTCAATTTTGTCATTTTGAAAAAGGATCCCTTTTCAAAAAATAAAGTTTCAATTTTGCCATTTTCAAGAAAATAAGTTTTCAATTTAATTTGTTGCTTATCCATTGCATATCAAGAGGTGCCCTGATTGATGTGTAGTACTTGAAAATTGAAACGACCTTATGTAACCATTCGTCTTACCACAACAGTTACTCATGAAGAAGTGTGGGAGAAGTTAAAAGGATAATGGTGGTTCCAGGCATTATGTATCCATTAATTGCGTTAGACGGTTCCTCTACCACAGGAAAAAAAACGGGCAATATAAATGAATTATCAGTTCATATATATCCTTTGTAATAGCAAAACAGAGTTTGCCTCCATTTCTTCTGACAGTTGAAAAATAGACCAAACAGAAAATATGGAAAGCAATGATTTATTGTACATTAATGAAAATGTGCTGAGTAATATTTTCAATAGATTGGATCTTAAGTCAATTGGACGATTCCATTGTGTGTGCAAGACCTGTGCAAGACCTGAGATTGGATAAAGCCGGTACCAGTGGCAGAAAGGAGAATGATAATAACGCATACAACTACAACACAAGTTCAGAGTAACAAGAATCTGACCATTCAGCCGGAGAGGAGAAACGAGGAGGATGACATCCACAAAATTATGCCCATTACAACTGATTTGGTGTGCTTTTGCCTTGCACATGAAATCGAATTTCTTAACCCGATGACATGACAGATTGCAGGAGTTGAGTGGCTGAATATTATGGGTGCCCTTGAAAATTGTGCAAAGGCTTTTGGGTATAGATCTTCTACTAATGAATACACCTTTATGGCACTCTGTTTCCCTCCAACTCATGGATATTACAATGGATGTACCTTTTCATTTGAACCTTGTTCACGGATAGATCAAGTGCATTGGAAAGCAGTGGACAAGGTGTGTCCCTTTCGAGTTGATGACAAAATTTGGATGGACAGATATGTTTATTGGCCGATTGACAAGCCCCGCAGTGGTATTGGACCAGAATCTACGGAGTTGCTGGTTTCATTTGACACGGAGACGGAGAATTTTCAGGTAATTCATGCACCTCCAACTCCTATGTTCGTTACTGTTACTTGTTTCCCTAGAGTGAAGATCTTGGATGATCGAGGGACTATGTGCGTAACAGAGGAGAATTACATTTATATGAGAGATATGAAGTTTGAAATGTGGGCCTCAGAATCAAGTGAAGACAATTCAGAGAGTTGGAAATAGAGAAGGGTATTTGAAAACAGAAATTTCCCCATTTCCGATGTAACAGTTTATCCTGGTACTTGTCCATACAATGGCGAATGGGTATATCCTGCCATCCTCAGCCACAAATCTTCGCCTGCCGGAGAATTCATTTTGAAGGGCCTCGATCCATTTCATCTTCAATTGTATTGTCCTGATAGCGAAGAAGTTAAAAATATTTTCCTCCCTCTTGAGTTAGATCACAGTTATGTCATCGCAACATGTTACCACTGGAGGACGTTGACATACTTGAGAATGTGATTATTATTGTTGTAGCTGTTTTTCTAATGTTTTTGGTATCAAAATTTAAATTAATCACTTGTGATAAATTATTTATTCAAATATTATGTTCAAAGGAATCGGATTTTTTATAAGAATACATATATATATATATATATTAAAAACAGGGGAAAATTAGGGCCAAAAAAAGTTTACCACCGCACCACTTGCTCGTTTAGTCCATATTTGACAAGACATTTATTAAAAAATGTAATGCTTCGTATTTAATATAGATAATTCGATATTTTATTAATTAATATAGTTAATTACTTTTTCAATTAAAAAATATCATTTAACAAGTCGCATTAATAGAGTTAATCAATTTATTTAGTGTTTCTCTCGTATTAATAACCAAATTATGCATCATATCTTCATGAGTTTATAATAAGTACAACCGATTAACACATTAACAAATAATCTCAGTACTATGATTACTAATTTATTATAAATGTACATATTATTGTTCACACTACTACACATTGCATATCATATGTACTACTGTTAAGTACTCGCATCACGTTATCCCTAATACCATACACGTATCATTTGTCATTGTGTTAGTAACATTATTGAGTATCTTAGCATTGTTATTACAATTCATCTCTATTAGTGATGTGGTAGATTAACATTGTTGTGTGTTAAACACTAATTGTGATAAGGTTATGTATTAATTTCCAGAATATTAGTTATATTATTGTTGGGTTCAAGTGAAAACCGCATTAGTGTTGGGTTCAAGGATGTAACTGTTACTGTTGTAATTCTTATAGGATTTGATATTGAAAATATTAACATAGAAGGGCACCATTCAAAATTATACATATTTTAGTACGGGTATAACTGAAAGAATTGGAATTTATTTTGGGGTTGAGATTAAAATATAACATAAGGGTGCCATAATATAATTTGAAGGGTGCCATAGTATAATTTTAGTAAGCGTCTTGATAACGGTTAAATTGTTACATAAAAGCATTGCAATTTTGCTCTTTAATTAGTTAGAATTTAGGGGTGTTTCTTAGATTTTGTTCATTTTACATAGCTAGTTTGGGTTTCTAAATAGGTGAGGACGGGAGTGAACAAATGCTGAAAATGGGGGCTTATGGAGAAATAATTGGGCTGCTGATTCCAATTTAAAATGAGGGCTGAGTTGGTCAAAAAGCAACTCCATGACACAAGACACATTGGGAGTTAATAAGTGTGTCCCATCCAAGGGCATGCTTGTCCCCTTGGTTAGACTCCCAACCGCCCATGATGATCAATGTTACAGCTGATACCAGTGCTGGAGAAGGGCAAGAGACCAGTCAATTCTCGGATTCAAGACACAAAGCATTGGGAGGAATAAATAATTCACAAGCATGGGGAGGCTATCTTGGAAGAAGAACCGGCTTCAAAGCTCTATAAAGGGAGCTGCATTCCCAGCATGAACACAGATCTGAGAGGACATACAACACACAAAACACAACAGAGAGAGAAGAAGAGAGCAGAGTGGGGAGAAAACTCCAAAGGAAGAAGAAGTCCAGTAGCAGAAAAAGAGGAGTAACAGGTCTCACTAGCCTGAGTGACCTTTGTCATTCAGGCGAGTGACCTATTGCTCAGTCATCCAGATTTACTTCTTCTTAATGCTTTACTTCTTTTCTTGTATTTTCTGTAGTTTGTATGTGTAGTTAATTAGATTTCATTCTCTGGAACCTATGTAGTTTAAGTTTGTGAATGCATTCGGATGATTTTGTGTTTTGAAGTTAAAGCTTTCATCTACCTCTTAATTAAATTGGCCATTTGATTGATTGTCCACAGAACTAAGTGAATCCCGGAAGGGTAAACAAGGTTCAGAATCATTTAGCTTCAACTTATGACTTGGAGGTAACAGTCCAAGGTTCTAATTGAGATAGGAATATACTTGGTTAGCATAAGCATTCATATAAGGCTTGAAAACTTCATGACTTGATTAATCATTGGAAAATAGTTTAATTGAGTTGATAAAGATACCTCTAGGAAAAATCGGAAGTGACTTAGAGATATATAAGTGTCTGAATGAGCATGAATTTATACCAAAAGAGTGCAAGATTACAACTTGATTACATAGGGAAAAGAGAATGAATATCCAGTTTGTTGAGTCAGTCCCTTGAGTCGGAATTCTCACTCCCGTGAGTGAGGTTCCATTTGTCTTTCTTTGTCTTTAGTTCTGCAGAGTCACTTGCCTGAGTGACTTAACCCACTCGTGCAAGTGAGTGACACTCTGCAACTTTCTTTCTTGTTTGTCCAATTTTGTGTTCCGGTTATTTGAAGTTTAACCGTCCCTGTGGGATCGACCTGGCTTATCCTATCTACAGTTTAAGTTGGTAAATTATTTTGGGGGCTTCAACAACCCACCACGTCTCTTGTCTCAATTTGTCTCACATTAATCAACCACCACCTTGGCACCTCCACCACCAACATACGCCGCCAGTCTACATTGCTACGCCGCCGGACCAAGACTAATACTGTCGGCTGGCTACCGACTGCCGACTTAATCGCCGGGAGTGTGACAAAATCAAGTCGGTCGGCGAATGGCCGGCGTAATCCCGACGGCGTAGTTGGGTGGTGGAGGTGGTCCAGCGGCGGTAGAAAAAAGTATGGCGGAAAGAGTTGCCTTATTATTTATTTTTTAACTACCTAATCTAGACCCTAATCTACCAGTATTCAAAGTTCGAATATTTTCTTGGTTTATGAGATTTCGTGTTGTCGAATCGACATCCCTTTGTACGCAGTTTGTGGAGTAAATCATGTACCAACTACCAAGGTCAGTGCACAGAATTTGTATCTATGATTAAAGGAATTAAAGGCATTTCAGTAGATTATTGAATTTCGGTTAAATGTATATTTTATTTTTTTACATTACAATATTTCAATTATTTTTTTATACCAAGCGTCTTTTGCAGAATAATGTCACTTCCAAATTTGCTCTTCTTACATTGTACAATGAGGGGAATTAATTTGTTAGTAATATAATAGAATATAATAACAATATAGATATGTATCCATTTGTGATTTGTCTCTGTTAAAGAGTGAATAGATATATTGAATCAGTGGGGAAGTTGAAACAGTGGATTTGGGAAAACGGTCAATCGGTAGATGAAGGGGTCAAAAGGAATTGAGAGGTCCAATAAATAATGGCCACATTATCTAAAAGGCTATATAGTTAATAGCTGAACCTCAAGCAACAGTAGTTCCACATATTCTCCAACATCAGAAGTATAAAGGGCTTTCTAGAAGCAGAAAAGATTCTGGTTTTGAAAGGTAAGAATTTTTTTGGTTTTGATTTTGTTACTAAATACATTAATTCGTATCTTTATTTTTTTTTTTTTTTGGTTTTGGTGTGTACTTGGGTGTATGAAAATTGCCTTTTTATTGGGTGAGATTCTATTTCGTTGTAGTTACTTTGTCATTGAAAATTTTTCTTCCCCTCCAAAATTATCCTTTTACCCTTAATTAATAAGTAATATGTTTAGTAAGTGTTGTATATTTGTCTTTTCATTAGTCACTATATATTTCCATTATAATTAGTCACTATCTCTATCATTTCCCTTCTTTTTCTTCCTCTTTCTTCGATTTAGCCAACCTGACAAGAAAAGGTGGAGAAATTAAAACTTTTTGCTCAAATTTAATTAACTCATTACTCACCTCTTTTTCTGGTGGCATGGAAGAAACAAAAATCTCTTCATCTTGAGTTTGCTGTGATTTTTGAATTGGAGATAAATCATTCAGCAATTCCTTCCCACTACGAAGTGTCATGGCACCTGCATTTTCCTTCGGATTGATCTCTACTTGTGTAGGAAGCTTTCCTCTCCTAGAATCTATTCTACTCACTGTAGTTGCTAATTATGACATTTGTTTCTCTAGATTCTGGATGCTTGCACGTGTTTCCTGAGAATGAGTAGCCAAATTGGTCACAATTTCCTCTAAAGACATACCTGGTTTAGAAGAAAATGCTTGGGGTTGTTGATATTGTTGTCTCATAGGTGGTGGTTGATAAAGTTGTTGCTGGAAACCTGGTTTCCTATTCCCATAACTGAAATTGGGGTGATCTCGCCATCCAGGATTGTATGTATTCGAATAAGCATCATATCTCCATTGTGGCTGGCATGTAAATTCTCCAGCTACATTTACCTGCTCATTGTGGTCATCTTGAAGTGTTGGGCACATATCTGTCGGATGATCCGCCATATAATAAAAAGCACATATTTTCACCTGTTTTACTTGACTTGCAGCCATTTTTCTCACCAAAGATGTTAGTTCATCTAAACGTTTATCAGTGGAAGAACGTATTCCACTAAAGAACGTATTCAACTGTATCATCTCTTTTGGAGAATTGTTGAGAAGTTTCTGCCATAGTTGAAATTAGCTGCCTTGCTTGTGCTGACGTCTTGTTCATCATAACTCACCACTTGCTGAGTCCAGCTTATTTCTATCCACTTCACAGAGTCCTTCATAGAAAGGAGCAACAACTACTTTGGAATCTGATGCTGGGGACAACTGTTACATAACCGTTTGAATCTCTTCCAATACTCGTGCAATGTTTCACTATAGCCTTGGCGGATTCCGCTGATATCTTTTCTAATATTTGCTGCACACGATACTGGGAACAATTGTCTCTTCAACTCAGCCCAAGTAGTGATTGAATTGGGCGGCAAATCATAGAGCCAACAATTGGCATCACCCTCCAGTGA